TTCGTCTTCTTCATTTCTTCCTCTAATAATAATATTGCTCCGGCGACACCCTTCCGCAAGTGGGAGACCGGTGACCAGACGCCCAACTTGGACAAAAAATGACGATGAAGAGGTCCTGCTAAAGCCTTTGTGAAGACATCAGCAATTTGGGAGGAGGATGGAACAAAAGACAGAGAAATGAGACCATCAAGAAGTTTTTCACGAACAAAATGACAATCAATCTCAATGTGTTTCGTTCGTTCATGAAAGACAGGATTTTTAGCTATGTGGATGGCTGCCTGACTATCACAGTGAAGAGAAATTGGAAGAGATGGAAAGATAGAAAAATCGGAGAGAAGCCTGACAAGCCAAGAAATTTCTGCGACAAGTCGTCGCATGGAACGGTATTCTGCCTCCGCCGATGATAAAGAAATAACAGGTTGTTTCTTTGATTTCCATGAGATCGGGCAACCACCAAGTGTAAGAAAAAAATCACTAACAGATCTTCGGCTATCTGAACAAGCCGCCCAATCGGCGTCACAATAGGCGATGAGATGAAAAGACGAATCAGATGAAAGGAAAAGCCCAAGACCAGGATCATTTCGAATATAGCGGAGTGTATGCAAGGCTGCCTCAAAATGGCCAGAGCAGGGTGATTGCATATATTGACTAAGATGTTGAACAACATAAGCCAAATCGGGTCTTGTATGTGTTAAAAAATTGAGTTTCCCTAGAAGACGTCGATAAACTGTTGGATTCGGCAAAGACTCTCCAGAAATCAAAGACAATTTAATTGAGGGATCCAAAGGGGTTGAGACACGGCGAGGCTCGAGATCAGGATACTCAGATAGTAAATCAAGTGCAAACTTGCGTTGCGTCAAAAGTAATCCTCCAGGTTCTGTTAAAATCTCCATACCCAAAAAATAATTAGCAATGCCCAAGTTTTTGATTCGAAATTCAGAATCAAGAAACAATTTCAGATCAGTAATATCTTCCATGTTATTTCCTGTCAACAGGATGTCGTCAACATATACAACTAGGATGGTAATCAAGTCGCCAGAAGTTTTAACAAAGAGGGAATAATCATTGAGAGAGCAAATAAAGCCTCGTGTACCCAAAGCAGAAGAAAGACGAGCATACCATTAATGGGAAGCATGCTTGAGTCCATAAAGAGATTTGCGAAGGCGACAAACATGAGAGGATGAAGGAGGATCAAGACCAGGAGGAAATTTCATAAAGACTTCTTCACTCAGATCACCGTGAAGAAAAGCGTTGTTAACGTCCAGTTGATATAAAGACCAGTTCTTTTTTACAGCAATGCTAAGAAGGCATCTGATAGTTGTCATTTTGACAACAAGTGAGAACGTTTCGGTATAGTCAATGCCTTCCCGTTGTTTATCCCCTCGTATAACCAAACGTGCCTTCAAGCGTTCTAATGATCCATCTGATTTCAGCTTGACTTTATAAACCCATTTGCACGGCAATGCCAATTTACCAACAGGAAGATGGACGACATCCCAAGTGCGATTACTCTCAAGTGCCTCAAGTTCTTTAGACATTGCAATTTTCCAACCAGGGTGAAGTGCTACTTGCCGGTAAGATGTTGGTTCTGTAATTTGACAAATAGAGCTAACTATGTGCTGGTTGTGTGAAGAAAGGGAGGAGAAAGAAAATGAATGAAATGGAAATAAAGGCGGATTAGGAGAAATCACTGAAAATGCAGTGTTACAAACATAATCAGAAAGATAAGATGGTGTAGTGTGTATGCGTGAAGACCTTCTCAGTTCAGCTGTTGGAGATAACATAACCCTTGGTGATGTAGTTTCTTGGATGGGAAAGGAAGTAGAAGAAGATGGAGAAGAAAGGGATGAAGAAGGAGATGACTGACTAGGCTGGAAAGGAGATGAAGGATGAATAGAATCATTTGTAGGAGATGAACTAGGAGGAGATGAAGGTGAACTGGAAAACTCAGTAGTCTGTGAGTAAATAGGACTGGACTCGACATTTTCAGAAGGAGGAATAGATGCTGGAAAGAGTCTTGACATAGGAATAGCATAAGCAAAAGGAAAGATTGTTTCACAAAATTTCACATTTCGAGAGACAAAGACTTTGTTGGTCTGCAAATGCAGAATTTTGTACCCTTTTTTCCCAAAAGGATAGCCTAAGAAAACCCCTGGAAGAGCTCGAGGAGACAATTTATCCCTAGATCTCGCTAGAGTGGACACAAAACAAAGGCAACCAAAGGGCTTAAAATGAGAATAGGCTGGAGATTTGTCATATAAAACCTGATAAGATGACTGACCATGTAAAACTTTAGAAGGGAAACGATTAATTAGATAAGTAGCAGTTAGAAGACATTCCCCCCAAAATTTCTTAGGAAGGTGAGATTGGTAGAATAAGGCTCGACATGTTTCCAAAAGATGTTTATGTTTGCGTTCCACCACCCCATTTTGTTGTGGCGTAGCTACACAAGAAGTTTGGTGAATAATCCCTTTTGATAAAAAATATTCAGATTGCATAGTGCCTGTACCCAACTCATAAGCATTATCAGACCAAATGATTTTGACTTTAGTGGAGAATTGTCTCTCCACAAAGGCTAGGAAAAATTTCAGAACAGAGAATGCATTAGATTTTGTGGATAAAAGATATGTCCAAGTCCCTCTAGAAAAATCATCCACAATGGAAAGAAAATATTTTTCCCCTTTATACGTAGGTGTCGTATATGGTCCCCATATGTCAATATGTAGTAGTTCAAAACAGTGCTTTGAGGAAATGTGGCTAACAGGAAAAGGTAACTTTGTTTGTCTTGCCATCGGACAAATGTCACAAGGAAAATGATTGTGGTCTGTTAAAAATTATGATAAACCAGTGATATTTCTCATTGCTGGATAAGGTAAATGCCCTAATCGATAGTGCCATAGCTTACTTGAAGTAAAATTCTTAGAAACAAAACATTTTTTATTGATAGTAGAAACTTCAGGGCAAGAAGTATTGCCAGCTACAGACTCAAAACTTGGACAAAAAGACTTAACAGAATTTAACTTGATAACATTGATAGGACTCATATGATTTCTAGGAGCGGAAGACGAAAATATAGTAGAAACAGGAACATTAGACTTGAAAATCTTTGGTTGAGTTATGTTATCCTCCAATAGATGCACATAAAGGCCTGCAGATACTTCACCAAAAATCAGGTGACTCTTCATTGAAAGGCCCTATAGCAGACAACCAGATTTGTTAAAAATGACATCACAATCCAATTGTCTACAAAGCTGACTTACTGACATTAGGTTATGTTTAAAAGAAGGAACATAAAGGACATTGTGTAATTCAATATCAGAAGATAGATTAAGACTACCAAAATAGAAAACTCTCATTCTATAAGAGTTTGGCAGATTAACAAAAACAGGATAGGATAATTTCTTGACATTATGTAGAAGGTTTTTTTTCAAAAGTCATATATTGGGAGGCACCAGAGTCAATAATCCAAGGGTTAGAGGTAGATGAGTTAAAACATGAGGTAAAGACATGCATAGCAGCATTTATACCAGCAAAATTAGCAGTTGCATTGACTTCAAAACCTGGAGCAATTGAGTTTCCAGCCTACATTGTTTGTAACATTTGAAATAGTTGGCCACATTGTTCCTTGGTGAATCCCTGAGAAGAAGAACCTGAACCAAAGGAAGATCCTGAAGCATTTCCGTCCTCTGTTGCTACACAATTCGCTGGTCTATATCTAGAGATTCTCCTAGGCTTAGTGAACTTAAAATTTGCAGGAAATCCATGTAATCTAAAACATTTATCCTTCTCATGCCCCGGTTTCTTACAGTAGCTACAGAAATTGCCATTGTTCACATAGTCTCTTCTAGACTCATTACCTGTCTTTTGTGCAAAGGTTCTTGTTGCTGCAATATTAAAAGCAGCAGAGTCAGGAGTTACCTTAAGCACAGAGTGTACCTCTCTTTGCCTCTCCTCATGAAGGATGAGTGAATAAGCCTATGCAGTGGTTGGCAAAGGTTTCATCATTAATATGTTGCCTCGGATACTTGAATAGACCTCGTTCAAACCCATTAGAAACTGAATGAGCTGCTGATCTTCATTCATTTTGAAGTTGTGCTCCTTAGCACCACAACTGCAATCACAACTACAGTTCATAAAAGTGTTCAGCTCTTTCATTTGGTCCCAAATTCTTTTCAACCTTGTGAAATAGCTAGCAATATCAGAAGTTCCCTGGGAAATGCTACTGAGATCCCTTTGCAACTGGAACATCTTGGTTCCATCAGATTGACCATACCTCTGCTCTAGTTCCTTCCATAGCTCTTCTGCAGTTTGTGAGTAAATCACGCTCTCTGCAATATCCTTACTCAAGGAGTTTAGTAGCCAAGCTATGACCATATCATTGCATCTTACCCATTGAGTGAATAAAGGTGCGTTAGCAGTAGGTTTAGGATACTTTCCGTTGATAAAAACAAGTTTGTTTTTAGCTGAAAGTGAGATGAGAACTCCTCTTCTCCAGTTTCCATAGTTGGTTCCATCAAAACTCATATTAATGAGATTCATGCCAGGTGAATCTGCTGAGTTGAGGAAGAGAGGATTTGAAGGATCTAATTTTTCAGAACCAGTGATGACTCCAGATGAGTCTTTCTCAACAGCTAACGTGGCATCTCCCATTTTCGAAGCAGAAGATCAAAAAAAATATGAAGATGAAAGAAGAAATATGAAGAAGCAAAAAAAATCCTTCTAGAGCTACTGCTCTGATACCATAACAGAAGATAGAATGAAGAGCTCTAGATTTCCAAA